GGACCCTGGCACAGATTCCCAGGGAAGCTGTGGCTGCTTTCCTGGCAGTGCCCAAGGCCAGGTGGGACACTGGGGCTTGGAGCACCCTGGGATAGTGGAAGGTGTCCCTGACCATGGCAGGAGGTAGATGATCTTTAAGGTCTCTTCCAACCCAATCCATTCTGTGATTCTATGATTTCCTCCAAGAACAGTCCAGGATCTGCTTGCCACACCCCACCTGCCTTGCCCAGCCACACCACAGAGGCACACAGGTATGAGAGCACAAAAACTGCAGCTTTGCAGCCCAAAATATCTGCTAAATATTCCCCTTCACAGCACCTGGACATGGCAGGCAAGCACCTGTGTCTACTCAGATGGATGAAATCCTCCAGGAGCAAAGCCCTGCTGTGACAGAGCCACTCACTGGATTGCCACCAATTGTCCCTTCCTTGGAACAGACAGGGGACAGACACTGCATTTCTGTATTTCACCCAGATTTCCAAAGCTCTTCCCCAAATTGTTATTTCAGTGGAAGAGGAAAAAAATCCATAGTTTTGAATTCTCTCAGGGAAGAACAAGACCAAGAGGCTGAGGCAGGGCTGCTAACAACCCTGCCATTTTTTATTTCCCTTTCCTAGACTGTGAAACTCCAGGCTTGGTCCAAAATGAGACCTAATCAATATTCTGATGCTGAGATCCCATTACAGACTGAGCATCCCTGGGTCCCAGGTTCCGGGTCAAATTCTCCTTCATGTCTTGAACCAATTGTTTTAGCAATTCCCAATCTCAATGGATGAGATTTTTTACCACCCCAGAAATCCTTTCCAGCAGAATCTTTGCCTCCTGCTTTTCTATTCATTTTCTGCAACGGCTTTACATGATTTAGCATCATCAGTATTCAGAGCCTTCCCCATTACGTGATGCCTCATGATGTGTGAGGTTTGGAATGTTTCTGCTCTAATCACATCAGAAAAAGATATTCCTGTGGCCATTAGGCAGTGTTGGTAAATTTTAGATCAGGGGCAAAAGGCTATTTCTTCTCCAAAATGAGTAATTTTTCAGTGTTAACAGGAACTTGACATGATCAGCACCTGCCTTCAACTGTGTGACAGAAATCAATCTTTAAGCAAACACCTCAAAAAAATAAATAAGGTTAAAGCCCAAAAAAACTTGACTTACCTCCTCATTTAATGATGGAAGCAGACATCCACGTGTCCTGAGCCTGTCCTCCAAACCTATGCCAGTCAGTGCCACCAGTCTGTTCACTTAAAAACCCTTCAGTCACCACTTCCAAACGGGACTGAAACCACCAAGCAGAAACCTTGACTGAAGATGCCAATTTCCCCCCTGGATTTGCATTTTTATTTATTTTTTGTTAAAGCTTGTTAGCTCTCATGACCTGGGCTGGCCATTAAACCTGCAGAGATCTGCAGGCAGTGACCACCCTCCAAAGAATCCTAAATTCAATAAAAATAAGGAGCCTTAATAAAGTGAAATGAAAAATATACATTTCATCATTATTCTGCCTTTTTTCCCCCCCTCTCAGGATTCAGGGCAGAACACGGGGATGCAAATTAGAACTAAATGAAAAATGACAAAGCTACCTGAGGCATCCAGAGAACTGATAGCTTTCAAATGTGAGATTGATGGAATAAATCAGCAGCTGCTTCCCGTGGGTTACAGCTCTCGGTTCCAAAGCCCTACAAATGCCTGGCTTTGCTCAGAGCATTGCTATTTTAGAACCAAAGGCTTAAGTAACTCTTCCTGTGCTGCTGTTCAGCATTTTAATTATGTGAGGGGAGTTGAGACACCCATCCTGTTGAGATACACACCATGGAGAATATTTAGCATTTCTGTTGTCACCTAAATGTTATTTTAATGTTGATCCCAAAGCTTATTTAAGCCACTTTCCCCCCTTCTGCTTATTTATTAGCATCACATTGGAGGGAAAATATAGAAACCCAAATATTTTGGGGAGGTTTTGGTTTTCATAAACCCACACTGTTCTTCATGCCTATTTAAAGACTGAAATCAATATATTACAGAAAGGCATTCTTGCTTAAAAAGGAGGAATCTAAGTAAACAGAATTACCTCACTGTAAAGTGATAGGCACTTAAGTATTACAAGATGTTTTGGCATCCCCAAAGTTTGAGCTGATGTTAAATATTAACGGGGTTTCCCACATTCAGCAAAAAATTACAATAGTATAATTTTTTAACTGTATGGAATTTGAGGTTTCAGTGATGACAGGTTTCCAATAAATCATAGGAAAACAGAAATGTGCATTCTTTTGTTTTCTAAGTACTTCACTGTGTATTAAGTTCTTAGCTTTAGAATTGGGCAAACTAAAAATAGTAACAGCAAACCTTAGACACCCATTCAGAATTTCTGAATATTTCAGTGTTTGCTTCTGTGGAACAAGAACACAAATGCTGCTTTTCCTTTTTTCTGAAGGAGGAAGAACATCAGTTATCCACAAAGCTATTTCTTGCTCTTTTAGCCTTTATTTTCTTTAAGTTCCCCAGAAATTTACAAAAAACAAGGCAAGCAATTAAGGTTTCTGTCATTAAATCCTTTTGTCTCTTTATAAAATTCCAGGCAGAGCACATAAACTAAAAAAGCCAATTTTGTGTATTAGCATTTGTCCTTGGAAAAAGCCTCTTTGGAAACCTTTCTGTTGGGAATGATGTCAAAAAAACCCTGGAAGTTTGCTCCCTGATCTGGCTTCTTTCCATTGGAACATCTAATGGCTGGGGGGGAATGTCTTTTTTATTTTGCACATATCAACATCACAGTCCATTTCTCAAGGCAATAAAAAAAAAAAGTGCTTAATATGACTCAGCCAACTGCAATTTAACCCTCAATAAAAGTCTATTTTTGGCAGAAGGTTCACCTTTCTTTAAAATTATTGTGATGACGAGTTAAAGCCATTTCCTAAATTTGCTTTGAATGCTGTTCATAATGAGGATTAAATTGTTTCATACCTGCAGCAAAGCTGTTTCTGTTCAGAGGGTTGGGATCCCTGAAGACTGATGATAAGCAGGCAAAGAGCAGACAGAAAAGCCAATTTTCTCCTAGAATTCAAGCAAGACCTTGTCCATCTCCTTAAGTAACTTGTCTCTATTTTTCCAACCCGTGGCAGGAAATCTTCAGTTCTACAGCTGATGTCTCCACTCTTGATCTCCACATGCCTCATCCTCACCACAGAACTACTTGTGCATCCTTTTAGGATTAAAAAAAAATGCACTTGCTTCCCTAAGTGCACAGCAAGGCACTGCACTTTATCACTTCCAGCCTCACAAATGGCTCAGGCCATTACAGAACAGCCTGCCAGGATAAAAAATCCAGGATACAATATTCATGTACTCTGTGAGACACAGCTACTCTTTATGGTGATCGACAGAAGCAAGGCAGACTTTCATTTCATTAAGAAACTGAGGATGAAGCAGCCTATAAACAAAATTCCTTCAGTGCAGAAGTTAAGTTTGCACCATTTACAGCAGTACAACCCCTACTCAGGGCTGCCAAAAGCAGCAATTACCAGTTCAAAGGCTGACCCAGGGGCACTGGGGAAACTGGCAAGGAATTTTGACAGAAGGAAGTTCTACAAACCTCACACCTCCCTTCTGGAGGCATAGGATTGGTGTGGAAGAGTTTGAGATCAAGGTTTGCCAACTTCCATGAGGAATCAGTGCCCTGATTGACCATGGGTTCATGGAGCCCCTCTCCTGTCGCACACACACTGACATCCCAGCCACACTTCTATGAAGCCCCAAAATTTCCCGAGAACAGGGAACATCACAGCAGCAGGTGGCTGCTGGCAAAGCATCTCCCCAACACTGAGCACAAGTCGGCAGCAATCCCCACAAATACACGTATTGATGAAGTGATACAGACAGGAAATAAATCCTGCTACTTCCTTAGCACTTTTTATTATTAGAACGATGTTCATTTAAAGACTCAGTGACAAATCCTGTCTGGTACATCATCAACTTATCAAAAACCTGTGACATGTGCAGAGAATGTTAAGTTATATTAAGTAAGCTGTTAACTTGACAAAATCCAGCCTGCTGCATTTAGCTGCCTAAGCTGCAGCAGAGATGACACATTGTCAAGGGTGGGAAACACCCTCTCCTCCCTAACCAGAGCTCCAGATCCTCAAAACTCAGCAAAAGTCAAGTCAGGTGTCTCAGTCACATCAGGAGCTCAGCCATCACACTCCACTCCAGACCCACGTACAGGCAGCAGTTTTTGGGATGTGACTGCCACCCAACTGCAGGAAAGGAACAGGCACAGCCATTGCAACTCCCTTCCCTGGACTTCATTTATCCACACACCAAAGAAAGGATGGATGGATGCTAACAGGAAGGCAGCTCAAAAGCAAAACCAGAAGATGCCTCAAAGTGAGAGATTGAGAAAGACAGAATTTACAACTTTTTGACTAGTAATCAAAAGGAGCATTAAGTTGTTCTGCACAGAAGGTAGAGATATGACAGCACTGCCAGGGCACCAGGTGGCCCCTGCCAAGGCAGTCACACATGGCATTAGTGCTTCAGTAAATGAGTGGGAATAATAAAGGAATGCCAGAGGCAGATCTCTGAACACCGAGGGAGCACCTTAATGTCATTATTGGGGCATTTTCACTTGTGCTGCAGGGGGGTAAGTGTAGAAACCCAGTGTTACCTCCAGCAATTAAAACAGCCTTCAAGAGGAGCTCTATGCAGAACATCTCAGGGAATGAGGGTTCCAGCTAACAGCATGTCCACTTCCTGCTCTGTACCAGGATCCTTGGGAGGATACTACAGATCTCCTGTCAGCAGGATCCCACCACAACCTGTCATTCTGAGCATAAGTGGGAAAAGTGAAATTGATCGTTTGCCTCTTTACATGTCTGAGTGGTTATAGACACACACAGAGTTCACACAGCCTTGCTATCTGCAAAATCCAGGTAATTATTCCTTTAATTTAGTCATCCACCTATCCCAGCTAATTATATCAGCAAACAGACATACTCTGCTTGTTTATTGAAGGGTTTTTTAATGTGAAGAGAAACAGAAGCTTCTGACTAACCACGCTGACTCTGAGCTACATTAAAATCACCGTATTTCAGCGGTTTCTGAGCTGTTCACACCATCCTAAAAAAGTCTCCAGTCTTTCAACAGTCCATCCAATAAAGCTGATGTTGTGTACCAGGTATTCTGGAGGCATCTCTCAGCTGCAGCTGAAACCTGGCAGGATTCATCGTTTGCCCAAAATCCTGAGCCTTGCAGGAAAACAAGACCAAAAAGCACAAACAACCTCAGGTCTTGACAAGCAAAGCTTCTTCCACTGGTCTGATTCCCAACGGAAACATGATGATGATGTTTTTGACACGAGTCCCATCTGTGCACCACGAAACAACAACAAAAAGGAAGATGATGCCAAGTCTTCTCAAACAGTCACCCGAAATACAAAGAGAGCGTACAGAAGCTTGATGCAAAATCCAGAAATAGTCCAGGGCAGTGCTTGGGCATCACTAAAGGTTTAAGGACTACTGGGGATTATGTGGCCAGCCACAAAGTGTCTTGTCAGAGGTCAGGACTGTTCCCTGCTGCTGGGAGGAGTGAGCAGCCTGTGAGCTCCTGGCAGAGGTTTGGTGATCTGACAGAAACCAGGGCAGAGCAGAGTCAGGTGGCCGAGCGCCGGCGGATCACGAACACGCCCCGCTGCAGCTGCCCCAGGTAGATCCTCATCTTGGTGCTGTCACTGGTTTTCCTCACCCAGATCTGCAGGAGAGAAAGGGCAGAAAGAATAGGGCAGGGAGATGAATTAGTGGAGAAAAAGGGAAAACTTGCAGCAAGCAGCACACAGACAAATTAACTACGCGTCTTAGGGTCGGAGCTGAACACCCCAGGGGGCACAGATCAATGAGGTTAATCCCCTCTCCCTCCCTACGTAAGGCATTTGCAACCCGAGTAGAAAATGAAATAAGGTGTCTTAACTTCACCTCCTTAACTTCTTGCTCAAAACAGTCCTCGAGAAAAATTACTCTTTCAAGCACCATCAGGAAAGCAGGTTCCTCCTGCGACAGCTCACAACAGAGCCGTGGCACTGAGCTTTGCCTAATCAAGACTAAGTCTCTCTAGATCCACAGATCATAAAATTATCTATCCTGGGATTTGCCCAGACAAGTAACTATTAGTCAAATGAAAAGCTTATTCTGATTCTGTTGCATGAAGCATTTCCCACAATGTAGCACAGAAATTGTGTCTGGAGATAAAAGGGCCTCTCTTTAAACACCTGCATGGAAGGATTCACACCACGTGCCACAAGACAAATTGCTGCCAACAAGGCAGCCACTCCAGAGAGTTTTTGAAATCACCTTCAAGGTGTTTAGATCTAAAAACCTGTACTTTTAAAATCAAGTCTGAGCAATTTCCTCTGCATTATATCCTTCTAATGCATTTCAACATATTTAGATAAATACACTGAGTAAGAATTATCCACTCCTTAGTACTGCAATATTTTAGGAGGGAAGTCCAACATTTCCTAATCAAAGGATAATAAAGTTATGTTGGCCTGTGATTTACCCTAAACTTTTTTTTTCTTCATATATTAGTTACAGGCCTGGCAAGTAAATTGATTTAATAAATTGACTTTATTAACAGGACCCCTTAATATAAAATGAATTTAGTATTTGCCTGGATTTCTACTTCAATTATTTCTCCAGAGAAATTAAAATCAACATTCATTGATAGTCACCTCCCAACTGCAACATTTACAAGGATTTGGCACGTTTTGCTTGCCAAAATAACTCAAAAATCCATAAACTTTGAGCAACTGTAGGAAAAAAACATGTACAATTTCATATTCTACCACAGTACGATGGAATGATACATTAATTTTGCTAAATTACAATAATAACTTTTAACAAATTTTAATGCACCCATAAGCACACTACCACTGCTTTTATCTGAACAACAGAGTGCCACAACTGCCACTGCAAGGGAACAGCTGTGACACAAAGAGATCCCACATGCAACTCATTCTGGGGAAAATAAAGTGTTTTCCCTTAGCTGCCACAACAAATTAAAGTTCCTTTATTGGCTGATTAAGAAGAAGTGCACTCAAATCTATTATTGCTTTCCCTGAAGTGTCTGGAATCTGCAAGCAAAGAACAAAGTGCTGCCTTTGCCCAACTGCTGCAGGAGCTTGCAAAACACAGGATCATCTTTCAGAAACAAAGCAAGTCTCTTCCTATCTCAAAAAGAGCTTTCTCAAATCAGTTTTATCTTGGCTTCAGCCTTCTTTACACCTCAGACAGGTATCTATCTTCAGCCCTTACTAAACCCATGTCTCTCCCCCCTCTGCTGACAAATAAAAGCAGCCACAACCTCGTTGGCTCCCACAGAACTGATCACACAGCTGATCTTGGTGTTCTCTTTAGACTCCAGGTAAATAGCTTGGCTCTTGTGGTACCTGCCAAAAGGAAAAAAAGGAAAAAAAAAGGAAATGCATCAATCCATTATTGATAAAGCTGGACAGAGTAAATTTGAAGTCTGCCTTTCTTCCCACACCACTTTCTCCATCTTTGCAAGATAGTGAGTGATCTCACACACACACCCAGCATTAATGATATTTGAAATGCAGGAGGGTCTTAACTCACATTCAACTCTGCACTGAAGGTTACTGAAAACAGATTTCACAACTGCAAGAGGGAGAGGCAGAGCCCCAGCCACAGCCCAGGGGAACAGAGACTGACAACACACCCAGGCTTCAAGGGTTAATCCAAGCAGCCTTTCCCATTTCAGACTCAGGATGGACTTCAGAAGGCAGCTCCTCATTTTGCCTGACAAAACATGACAGAGCAAATCACAGACACTCAAGCTGTTCCCCAATACAGAATTACTAGAGCAATATCACCACCAAAAGTGAATTACCCTCAATCAGTGCAGTCTGTGCATTGTTTAATGAGACCTCCAATTTCTAATGCTGTCCTATTGTGTGAAAATACCCAAAATGGTAACTAATGGGTAACTGACTCTGTAATGAGCTGTAAATATCTGCCATATGCAGTCCATGACTAAACATATCCATTTCATCCTATTTTAGATCATATTTTAAGCTCTATATTGTTCCTAATGTGTTGTGTATAAAACAAAGACTTTGAAATTCCTAACTCTGAATTTGATTCCGTGGACTCTCCTCTTTCACAGCCCACATTTCTCCAAGTGCTGCAGTGTGCCAGCCCCAAACCCCTACTTGCTGTTCATTCTGCCTCATTCTCTTCCACAGGCAGAACTAATTACACTGGAACAGGTGATTTGTAAGTAAATCATCTTAATCAAGCAAGCACCAAAATACTTTACAGCTATAAAAGCATGACTGTATTTCCACCTTTCCCCTAATCATGATTTTATCTGGGCAATCCAAGCTGCAGAATCCCTGCACAGATATTCCCTCAGTAGTTACCCAGTGCAACTCCCTGCAGCCTGAATGCCATTTGCAAAATACATGGATTTATTGAAACTTCACAGTTATTTCTACAACAACCATACTGTATATGTGGAAGTCTTCCAATGGTCTATTCCACAATCTCTTCCTACTGGAAAATTCTGCACTCAGAATTTTCGCAGTGCTTGCCAGTAGCTGGAATGGGTGTCAGCTTTTAGCCTTCCAAACTCATTACCCATGGGGGGGGTGAGGGAATAAAAAATCCCAAAATCCTGCAACCTTTAAAACAATGCTTGGACACAGGTGTCTTTCTCCTTCATTCTGACAGAAACAATGTCAGTGGGTTCCAGGGCAATGCAAAGCAACAATGATCTGAGCCAAAAAAATATCTCAGTTTAGCAAGTCCAGATGTCATTAAATGATACAGAGGAACTCAATAAGCTGCTGCAAACCCCAGGCCTCACTAAGATGAGACAAGAATCTCAGTCCAGCAGTGCCCTACCATGCCATGCTGGGAGTACTTAAGGAAGAGTTCTGATCTTGATACAATCAGCAGGAGTGCAGGAGAAGCCAGTGCAAACAACAGCTCTCAAGTGTTAGCTGTGCCCACACAGACAAGGATGTATTTCCCCCACTTTCAATTTTTGATTACCAGTGAATTCCAAAGCTGATGACACCTGTGTCAGAGGCTTCATTCAGCCCTTGGATTTCACACCATGAACGACTCTCCATCAGCAAATTGATGCTAATTGTGCCCAGAAAAGGCAAAGAGCCAAGTCAGCAGTGTTTCACTGAGGAGCTGTCTCTCACACAGAGACAGGGCAGCTGAAAGCACAGCACCCTGCTGCATCAGTTCCCTGGTCACGTCTCACCCTTTTGCCAGGTTTATATATCCAGAGAGGGATAGGATTGAGGAAATTACCTCAGATGAAAAATGCAATGGCGTTTAAGTTGGCTTTCAAGAAAGAAGAGCCAAACAACTCTCACTGTTGCAGTAGGTAAAACACACCAAGTGAGGCAAGCAGAAATAATTCCATTTCCTGCTATAAAATATTTTACTGAAAGGCCAAGATTTCCAAGTGCAACTCCATCAGAAGATTGAAAGAAATCCCTCTGCATGCAGCAAAGCTAAGAGCAAAAAGATGGTTGCTTTACAGTGAACTGTGGTTCAGGATTTGATGGGGGAGCATCCGAGGATTAAAAAACTGAGTCTAATTCCACATTCACCTGAAACACTCCACTCTGGAGATGTCTGAAATGCCTCTGCAAGACTTCAGGGGGTTCATTACTGGCATTAAACATTCCCTGTTTTCATGCAATTGTCATGCAGGGCTGCATCAGGAAACAGAGAAAGTCATTCCTGGGCTGTCAGGTTTAGGATTTCTGTGCATGCCAGCATTCTTATGCATCTTAGGAAGAATTACCCTCACACTACCAACAGTTATTTCATTACTTTAAAACACCAGCTACTTTGCACAAGTATTATTACTTATTATCAATCAAAAAAATCTAAGCAGGATTATTACAACAAAAAAAATATATAAGATACTGATCTTAAAACAGCATAAGAACAAGGCAGCCAGGAAAGACAACAGCCGGAATTCCTGACAGCAAGACCCCCATGACAAGCGAATTCAGCAAGGTGAAAATATCTATTAAGTGCTTTATGCCAGAGCTAGATACCCTTCAGAGAGAGCTGGTGCTTTGCTGAGGTTCTGGGCTCACTGAAGCTCTTGCAGGTTTAAATTTAATGGGAAGTTTTGAGCTTTACTGACAGATTACTTCAGACGCCTTTTTTTTCTCTTTCTTTTTTTACTCATGAACATTTTTCAAGTATTCCATATGCTTCAAAATTCTGAAGAGTTTATTCATCCAAATATATCCTGGGGATAGTCACTTTACACACACCAAAAAAAAAAAAAAAAGGCAAAAAAAAACCCCCAAAAAACCTTGATGAATCTGTGGAGTAAGTAGCCTGTTCAGTTCCTATCTGCTTTACACTTCATGAATGTTTAAACTGAGGGAGCAGCTTTTATGAGAGCTGTGTACACTGAACTCTCAATTAAACTTCAGGCAGAAAGAAAAACTGACCAACTGGCCAAGGGGGTTGCTGTGCAAAAAAACCAGCTTCACATCTACTTCTGTGACAAAATTACAGCCTCATCACTTGTTTTGAGCCACCAGAACACTGAAGTAGGCTACAAATAAGCAGATGACTTTTTGAAAGCAAATTGTTTTCTGCTCAAGTTTCAGACTGCCCCCTTGATTATCCAAGTTTGCAAGTCTCATGGATTAAGTTTAAGATCTAAGTTTCCTCTGCAGAATTCAATATTTTCCTTGTGTTTTGTGAGGATTGTACAGCTGTATGGCCATAAAACTCAGCAGAGATAAATCCAATCAGCAATTCTGAAGTTGCCTCTCCCAGGTGGGTTTGATCTTTAAAGGTTATTTGGATTTATTAGAAGCATCTTTCATCCTGAGCAGCTGCTGGATGACATTTCTTCTGCCACCTTGTGGAATGCTGGGCACAAATCTGAACCTCAGAAATGGGAGGGCTGCTGACAGCAGATCATGGAGTGTCTGTGTCCAAACTGGGCAGCTTCAGTCACATCCCACTGTGGCTGCTGCTGCCTCTCCTACCTCTTATTAGGTTTGGCTTCCTAAGAGCCACAGTGGGCCATGGAAAAGATTCAAGTCTCCTTTTATTGGAGCCACCAGTTATCTCTGAAAGCCTGCAGGGTGTGAACATTCCATCATCCCCTCTGCTTTACTGCACCCGTGATGAGCTTGTGGAGGGAGCAGCAAACCTCTGCCCTAAAGCATTTTATCCACCAGTTCTTTGCTCAAAACCATTTCTCTCTGCAGCCTCTGCCTCATCACTACACAACACAGACTGATGGAAACAAAAACTCCCCAGGCCTCACCATCTCTTGTCATAGTAGAGTTTGCCATCTTCTATCCGAGCTTCAAATCGCTGGGCTGGAGACTCTGCTGGTGTAGCTGGGAGGTGCTCGGGAGAGGAGGGGGAGGCTGGGGACAGCAGAGACACTCTGGTTAAAGACCAGCACATCTGACTGCAAAGCTGCAGTTAATAAGGTTGTGTGTGCAGAAATAGCAAGCAGAGAAAGCTGCAAACTCAAATATCCATCAGGAAAATATTATATATTGTGATGAGCGACTTGACCTCTGCCTTGAATTAAAATATGCACTGAAATACAGCATTTATGTGAAATAAACATTCATGGGTAAGTGATGGACGATATGTCCTTGATTTTGTTTTAGTTATAACCCACAGTTAATTAGTTAAATGCGATTAAAATTACTGAGGCAAGTTAGTCCCACTCTGTCTGAAATGAAGTGTATAAGTACATCTAGAGAGCTGAAGGCATAAAACCATAAGTGGTCAACCCTTCAATGGAGCTGATAAGCAGAAAAGGTGCCCAGATCACCTGAATATAATGGAAAATCTCTTTTCCCAGCTGGACTGTCCCATGCCCAAATGTTTCAGCCACCAAGGATGCTCATGCCCCCCTTCCCATCCCTGACAAACACCAACACCACAGAAAGAACAGCAATTGCACAGCCAGACATCTGCAGTACCATTCCCTGATCAGAACAGCACCCCATGAACAAGTTCCACTGCATCTGTAACTCACCTGGTCTCTTGGGTGATTTAAGCTACATGGGAAGAGAACAAAGCAGTGTTAGAGATCTGACAGGAGCCACAGAAGCTGCACTGATAACTTCAGAAATCTTACTTTCCACACTCGGAGTATTTCTAATTTAAATGCTCTGTTAAGTGGCATAACACATAACCAGTGTGCTCTAAACAGCCAAAGATGCAGATAATCAGTAAAATGATCCAAAAGGCCAAAAAAAGCTGAACTTGAGAGCATTCAGACAACCCACTCCAATGAGTCAAACCCATCTAACACACCATTTTTTAATGTGATACATTTCCCAGGGTACACAAAATACAAGAGCTAAATCATTAGAGAAACCTCAAAACCTGGCACAAAACCAGCGTTCCACTACCATCCTCAAAATGCCTTAATGAGCAGCTTGTATTCTAAGAAATTAGATAAGCCTTCAAGTGTTCAGCAAGAAAACAATATGTTAATCAAAACCAGAAAAGCTACAAACATGTACACTGCCCCCTATCCAGCTTGCTGAAATCTTGTGACAGCAGGGAGAAAATAAATAAAAATCCTACCCCAGAGTAAGGCTTAAACCAAAGGCAGCCTGTGATCTCCCAGAAAACACACTGACATCTGTTCAGCCATGAGGAAGAAACTCCTTAACATAGCTCATCCCTTGGTTCACACAAAAGGTAACATTTTTAGATGACAGTCATTCAAATTCAGTTAATTAAACTTGAATGAAAAAGAGTAGATACCATCTTGCAAAAGCTTTTCTTGTGCTGCTTCAGAAAGCCTATGGGGATGAAATAGTCCCACATCTCAAAAATGAACATTAAAGAGAGCTCTGTTCTCTTCAGGAGAAAGCATTTACCTTCTCTTGAAAATGAAGAAATACAGTCAAACAACAATCCCTACCTTATTCAGCGTTCTTAGGTCCTCCATTATTTGCTCATCAGTCAACAAATAATTTAGCTGAGGTATCCAGAATTAAGGTTTCCATAAGCTCTTGACAAGCAAGGCTAAAAATTAAAGGTCAATGACATTTCACTTGAGTAAACGTAAGCCAAAAGGTTTCCAGGATTTTAATAAATGTCTTACTTGAGCTGGTTTTTTTGTCAGAGGAATTAATACAAGTCCATCCCCACCATCTCAGCAGCAGAGTGCAAAATCATTTTAACTTATTCAGACACAACCATCAATGAAAAACCTTTAGTGCACTGACATTTACTTCATGGAGCATCAAGCACCAGCATTTTCAGTGTTTTTCATCTTGTATTTCTGTGGAGAAGAATCTGTGAGCTGAAACAACAGACTCAATTCAGGTTTTCTACAATGAAGCTAAATCCCACCTAAACCTAGTTAAATAAAACTTTGTGTGCTTGGGGATAAATAAGAGCCTACAATGCACCTGAAAAAACCCCAAAACCATTGAAAATATAAATTAGTGTATTACAGTCTTATTAGAGCTCTGCTGTACTTTTGTTTCTTCATAACAAGTGTTTAGCCAAAAGTATTCAAAGTATTACACTAAAGTTAACAGTTCCTGGGCTACATTTCAAGGATTTTGGTTTTGATGGACTTTAATCCTCCCCCAGTGAGCAAAGGCAGAGATTTTCACTGTGTGGTTGCTGTATCATGCTCAATTAGCAGGTCATGTTCACTATGAAACTCATTTATTTTGGATGAGATAGGGGCACTAATAAATGACTTGGGTTTTTTTTCCTGGAAGAGTGAACAGAATCTCCAACCAGAAAGAGGTTAATTGAAACTGGAGATGCTCATGACCATCCTGCATGAACTCCAAAAGTTCAAGGTTTGATATTGCCTTCAGAAAATGAGAGTCACTCAGATAAGTTTTTTTTAATCTAAGACATACAGGTTTAGAATCTAATAAGAAGTCCCTGCAAAGCAAATATCCTTGCCTTCCTCTCCAGGTGAATTTAATACACAAATAGAAAAAGTGCCTATCATCACAGAGGAGCTAAAAACATTTTCAGAAGCCAAGGAATATTTTAATTTTGAGACATGCAGCAAAGCAGATCCTAAGGATTACACAGACATGTTTTTCTGTCTCTTGTGATACATGAAAACAAGATGAATCTCCATCTTTTCTTATTCAAAGAACAAATCTAGCATCCTTGCTTTTGCTATGCATCTCTGGATTAGAGATCTGAAGCTTTTACCAGAAATGGAAAAATTATTTTGATATGACAAATATGATCTTTCTGGTAAATGCTTTGTCACGTCTTGAAATGAGAAAAGCTCTGGTTCATGCAAAAAGCCATTTACTATCTATGGAATCAATTATCTCAGCATATATATATATATCTAATATTCTTTTGAAGTTTTTCTTTCGTGAAATACATTGCCTGCAGCATTCAAACTATTCTCACTGACAAAAAAAAAGGTATCTCATGATACTGTAAGGATTAAGTTAGGATACCAAGGGATCTCCAAACACTGGTTTCTATACATGTATTGAATTGTACAACTGCTGGCATTGCTTTAGCACACATTATACATGACAATTGTGCTTCAGTATTTCCCAGGTTGAAATCTGATCCTGGCATTTCCTTTTCCTTGCTGTACAAAACAACCAAGGTGTGAGTAGCACAGGGGCTGCAAACCCAGCAGTGACTCCAGGAAAGGATATCAGGGGCAGGTTTTCTCCTCTTGTCTGGGATAGGAACTGGATCATTTGGTCGCCGTCTCAGTTTCCTCGTCATAATGGGCTTCACTTCCATTGAATCTGCAGAGAAATGAAGTTGCAGAGCTGATAAGGCCAGAGAGAAAGGAGTAAGCAGCAGCAGCTTTCTATACAAGGCACAGGGAAAATAATCTTTCCTCTTTCATTCAGCAAATTGGATTTTTTTTTTTTTATGTGTGTGTGTGCTGGCTTCCAGCATGGAAGTGCTGACAGTGAATCCAAGTTCTCTCCCATCAGGTCACTGTTCAGTGCCAGGGCTGCAATGCCATGGTTACAGCTGCTCCAGGTACAGATAAGCAGCACAATGATGCTACAAGGATTCAAGGTAAATTCCTTTCATGCTCACCCTATCTGCTTGGGAACAGATTTAAAAGGCCAAACTCACGGAGTTCTTTGCCAGCCCAAGTCAGATCATTAATAGCATGTAAAACATCAGCTACAAATCAATTGCTCTCACATCTTCAAGGCAGAAAAACAGCTTTGTCAAAAGATTAGAGAAAAATTCTGCATTGAAGACTGATACAAGTCCGCTGGAGTGATTTCAAACAAACAGTATTTAAATTCAGATTACCTAAGAATGATTAATGAAATGAGTCTAATTAATAACACAGAGCAGCAGTTGACAGGAAGTAAACTGCAGCATGTGCACTGGGGAAAAAGAAGAAAGTCTGTTAAAAACTTAAATACCAGTCTCATCACCAAATAATTATCTGAACTTCAGTTTGTCCAAATGCCTACAGATAACCTTTACTGAACAACTCCACTAAACTCTCACAACTCATTCCTTAATTCATCAAGATATGTTGAATTGGCAGCCAAGAGGCCACACCATAGATGCCAAACATCATCCCACCTCCCTTTCTCTGTGCTGAGATTTATTGGCTCATCTCCAAGCACCCCTGGATCACCCCCTGGGAAACACTTTCATCTGGGAAGCCCCTTTGGCTCCCACTAGACACAAAAATCTTGAGCAGTTCTGCATGTGCAAAATACAGCAAATTCCTTCTCTCCTCATCTCAAGGGTGAACAAGGATGACCATGAGACCAGATTTCATAAATAAATAAAAGAAGTTACCAGGGAAACAGCATAGCTCAAGATGCTTTCCAGTCCACATCAGCTCTAAGCGTTTATATTAAGCCAAGAGCACCATTTAATACACCAAAACAGGGTTTAATTCTCACTTCTGAGTATTAACTACATTATTAGTTAATATAAAACCTGTAGATACTATGCAAGAAATATATGAAGGGTGTAACTCATGGACAGGCCTCAGCAACAAAAGCACACTATCAGTCCATGGAGTGAGGGAGCTGCTCTCAAAGAACATCAAACCAGACTTTTGGTTCAGTACCACAGGAACAGAATTCTACAGGAATAATCAACCCCTGACTTAGCTCCCCTGTGTCCACTACCACAGAGCACTGCAAGGCACCAGGGGTACCAACTGTCTCAAAAAATCTGTCCATTTAATCTTCTAGAGCCTGGACACTGATGTAACCCACAAATCTTTGTTTTCTGGCTTTAAGCAGCAGATTTCAACTTTTATTGTTTGGCTTTCAACTACTTGACCACCCACTCCTGCAGCAAGGAAAGGACACAGCTTTACAAGCTGGCATCACTGGTAGGTCAATACTGTGACATATCTCAATAGTTTTATTGCTACATCAGGGAACCAAAGCAGCCTCTCTCCCTGCATATAGGCAAGCCCACCATCCCCTCTGCTGCTCCACTGGCACTGCTTGATTCACCTGTTAACAAGTCACAAAATTTTGAGCTGCTTTCTCCATTAAAAGGCCATCAATTCATGCTCTGCCCCTGTTGGCATTTCCCACCAGCTGCGTAAACCAGCACTGACATCTTTACAGCTCTTTTCCTAAGCAGGAGCAGAATGGATAACACAAATGACAGGTGCTTATCTTCTTTACCTCCTGTTAATTCCATGGTTAGCTTTTCATTCTCAATCATCTTCTTCTTCTCTTCCAACTCTGCTATCAGATTTTCCTTAAGCTCAATTTTCTTATCTTCAAACTCCTTTGCTGCTGCTTTCTTTTCCTTCACATAATTTTTCTCCACCTGATCTGTCTAATGCAAGCCCAAGGAGCAAGAAGGTTAATTAAGGACTCAAGTTAATGATATCACAACAGCTTTTCAAATTCTTTATTGATCAGCTTTTCAGTTCACAACTGGCCCAAGTTCTAAAGACTATCAATATTCGCAATCTATAGAAAAACATCAAAATATCACTTAGTGCTATTTTATTGTCAAATGAATGATTTATAAAAAGACATTTTAATGTTGCATAACCAATCAAGTCCCTAGCAGAGAGCTCTGCTGATTTACAAACAGCACTTATCACCTTAAACACCCCTTTTCTGACCAGCCCAATGCACAGCCAGATACAAGAGCCCAACAGCAAATATTTAATCTATTTTAACAACAAAGTGCAGAAGTCACTTGAGGTAATACCAGCAGTAAGCTCTACTACATCTCAAGTGCAACAAGCCAGCTAGAGGAAGAAAATTTCTCTAAGCCTTCTGGGAAAACAAGTCCAAATACTGGCTGATGAAACAAGGTTTATGCCTCTTCCATCTAATTAATGCATATTTTTGATAAATTAAGAGTACTTACTTCCAGCTGCAGGAACAGCTCTGAAACACAAGAAAGACTTAATGAATTACCTTCAAAGCTGCACAAAATTACTTCCTTAACATTTTATGCCATTGAATATTGCAGCCAAGACAGGCAGTGAAGCAAATAATTCGTGTACTTATCCAATTCTGCTCTGACTTCACAGCTTTATGCTGAAAATGAAGTGACTATGAAAAAGTTGCACAAAAATACACTGTTACTAGAGGTTTCTTACAGATTATCACCTCTGATAAAAGGTAAATCACCTCTGATTATCACCTCTGAAAAGCTTCCACTATTCCACATTACTCAATTCAGGCTGTAGTAGCAACACTGTACTACTCCAATACTTAAAAAAATTAAAAACCAGTAATAGACATACACCAAATATAAGAATGTTGCAATAAAAAACAAACTTCCTATTTGCAAAGCATGAAAGCAGCATTATGTAGATAATCAAACGCAGGTAAATGGAAACTGTTGGTTTAATAAACCTCAGCATAGCAAGAACAAACAGATCTTTATTCCTGTAGTACAAGGCAGCTGGATGTTTTAATCATAAAATTCCAAGTGATCACCACCTGCCCTCCTGTGGAAGAACTGTGCTGCTGCAGCACTGCCCGTGGCCAGCCAGAAATACCAGTTTGCACTGGGGTTTAATTTTATCAAAACAACCCAGGCTTGTCAGGATGCAGCTCTAGTGCATTTGAAAGGTCTTTCTGGAGGTCTTTCCCAACCTAAATCCCTAGTGAAATTCATCTCAGGAGACAGGCTCCTGTTAACAAGAAGTTGTTCAAACCACTTCAGTTCCTCAAGCAAATCCTTTACCTTTCCCAGGCACTTTCAGAAATACAGAACTGCTTGTTTTTGCTAAAAGAGGAGCAGCTGTATTTCCTATATCCACATAATGCCTTCTATAAAATGCCCTGCTTCAATGTCCCAGGGAAGAACAACTGGAAAGGGAAGAATAAAGAGAGAGGGCAAGCAGCTGGATTTGATTCCCAAGCCATTCCTCTGCAGCAACATAATAAAACCACCCAGAAGGACAAGCACTAGGCACTTAAAAAATTAACTTTGCTCCTTGAAACAGAGCAGTACCCAAAGTCCAGGCAGCCCATTCCATGCCACAGCCATGCAGAACAACAGTTCCAGCAGCAAATGCTCTGTGTTCATAGTTCACAAACAGATCCTGGGGAAAGCATGTGCTCCTAACTTCCCACTCCTGCAAACTGAAGGAGACAGGGCACCCAAAGGCTTCAGCAAGGGCCACCAAACAACAAACCAAAGTGGGACACTGTGCGTTAGTATGGCTGTGTTCAAGGGTCTCAGGACCCTTCAGGGGAAGAGATGAGAATCTTGACTCCATGTTTCAGAAGGCTGATTTATTATATTATGATATCATATTAAAATGCTACACTAAAACTATACTAAAAAGAATAGAGAGAAAGGATCCATCAGAGAGCTAGAAAGAAAAGGAACGAATAACAAAATCTTGTGACTGCTCACAGCCTCGACACAGGTGGCTGTCATTGGTCATCAAGGGAGAACAATTTCACATGCTGGGTAAGCAATTCTCCAAATCACATTCCAAAGCAGCAAAACATGGAGAAGCTGAAGCTTCCCAGCTTCTCAGGAGAAAAGATCCTGGCAAAAGGATTTTTCATAAAATATGTCTGTGACAGGTTAGATAAAAATGGAATCATCATTTTACTTGTGCTGCTTTGTGGCCGCATTTCTCTTCACAGAGAAAAGCAAGGCACAACTTCCCAAGGATATTTTCTGGGAATTGCAGTGAGGAACCTCAGAGAAAGAAGAAACAATTCTTATCTCATTTGCTGTGCCTGTGTTTGTGCAAAACTAGAATGCAACATGGAGATTGTTTACCCAGAGTGATGGTGTTTGTTTCCTTGGCCTAGCAGGGCCAAGCGTGGGTGTGTGTCAGGACTGTCGGTGACAGTCACGAGATCCTGGGCAGTGGGGTGCTTGGCAGATTCAGTTTAGATGTAATGTAATATAATATAGAATAATATAGTATAATAAAGTAATTAATTAGCTTTCTGATATCCATGGAGTCAGATGCATCATTCTCTCCCCTTCGTTGGGGTTGCCTTGACTCCTACACTGCTTCACATAAATGAAGGCTCAAACTGCTTATCAGTCAGCAAACAACGCTGGAAGAAAATAATCAAGGTAGATCCTGTCCTGTTTGGTGGACTCTGAGAAAACCCTACAATGTACCCAAAGATCCCTTTGCTCCAGCAAGTTCCTTTTCTTTGAAGGACAGAATTAACTCTTTTTTACTTCAGTGTTATACAAAACACACATTTAAGTTATTTGCAGTGTCTTAGAGAGAAATTCCACTTACCTGCATTTCGTATCCTTTCTTTGTACTGCTGGTCCAACTTCTTCATCCTTTTCTGATATTCCTGAAGAGTACCTAGTGGAAATAAATTGTAGATTCCCACTGCATTTTTTTTCCCCCAAGTACTAAATATTCTCAAGGAGTCAGCACCACTCAAAATACATTCCCTGCTTTTGTAAAAAGTGCATTACTCCTTTTACAAGTGCTTTAGCAGAGAGGCTAACTACAAGTAGAGTTAAGATGGAGAAAAGATGGGAAGCAGCTGACATTTTTAACTCAGCAGCACAGCTGAGAGCCAGCATGCAGTGAAAGATGCTGCTCCCATCTTTCAGAGCCTCCATCCTTCTATGACATTTGAAAAGTGCTGAAAATAAAAACCAAAGCTACTCTTCTAAGCTTACCTTCCTGCAGCTGCTGTAACTGCCTCTTCAGAGATGCCAGTTTGTCCTGATACATCCTGCAAACACAGCAGGAAACTTTAAACACCAAGCACACATTGTTTATTCCACCATCTCTTGAAGTTACATGTTTACACAATCAAAAACTTTTCAGAACTTCAGGAAACAAATTAACTACAAACTAAAATAATTTTATTCCAATTAAAGGTTCTCATTCTATCTTAAAAATGGGCTGAAAATTTAGGATAAAATAGGATTTTTTTTGTTGTTGAAACCTAAAATGACATTTAGATCTACAAGCATCAGAAACTTTACAGCAGAATCACTCTTGCACTATGTGAAGTTTTGTTAGCTATGTATTAGTTCCCCACATTATTTTAAAAAAACACTGACGTCTATTCCTGGTGCTACTGTAAACCTGCATTTCTTTTACCACACATCTGTGGTTTAAGACTGGCCAAGTCTTCCTGACCAGTATAAAAACAGGTCTCTGCCAGTAAGCAAGAGCTCAAAATACTGCAAATGCTCCTACACACCATGGGCAGATTATTTCAAGTCTCCCAGAAGTCCATTTCTGGTTCAGGACTAGAATTCAATTGTTTAAGGCATTTGGATAGGCATCTTACTTTTCCTTATCTAAAGCACAGCCTTTATTTTATTTGAAGGATCTGTCTGCAGCAGGATCCATTTACAGATGATCCCAGAACTCATAATTATTTCTTTGCCCAAAACAGCAGCAGCCCTTAATTTCTTGAATTTATATAGAACAGAGAAAGTAACTGGGGAGAGCAGAAATACAAGTTATGGACTCATGAGCTGTTCCACTGGGGTAAGCACTTAAAACTCCCAATCTTGGCCCAAAACTTTAACAAGTTTTAGGCAATAAACACCCGTAGACCCACAAGAAAATAGAATGTCACCTTACTTGTATTTGGAATTGATTTACTTACTGTTCTTTCATTTCTACAAAGTCCTCCTCCTCGTGTTTTGCCAGGTCTGTTTCACTGGCATCCTCAGTGTCTAAACAAGGCAAAAACCAACTTGTTAAAATGTAAAAAGTATTTAAAAAAAAAAACCAAGCTCAGTAGTAAATTATTTAAAAACAAGGAAACAGGCAAACAAAAAAGAAATCCCCAAACCTCAGGCAACTTAGCATCAAAGACAACCTGAGAGATGAATTCAGGAGGGAAATGGAATATCTTGTGTTCCTGCAACTGTGAGTTTTGCATGAACAACTTCAACCTCAGCCTGGGAATTTCTTCTCATTTAAGATGAGGGGCTCTACATTAATACTCACACACAGGTGAGACACAAACAGCCTAAAGACTCTGAAAGCCATTTCACAAACCTGTTGCTGGAGTTCCACCCACTCGGTGCTGCTCGGGTTGACCACAAAGGTCTCACCAAAGAGAGCAGTTACTGGCTGGGACCTGAGCTTCTCACCTGTACCTCACTTAGTACTGCAACACTCAAATACCAGCACTGCCATAAAAGACAGCTGCATTTCATAAACAGACAGTATAAACTGTAAATAAAGTCAATCACTGTGGGGTTGCCAGTTTGCTGCTAAGTCTTTTCAGGCTTCTATTTGTAACATGTGGGTAGCCAAGAATCCATTACCTTGCCAAAGAGGGGCAAGTGCCTCCAGACTTTACAGAGTACAGCTGAGAAACCTAAACCACAGCTAATTCCCTACACATAGCAGGAGGGCCCAGCCCCTTAAATCAAACCTTTCTCAGATTATTACTAAACTACAGACAGTTTAAACTTAATATAAAATTTAAGCACCAAAGATAAACCAAGTAGTTTTTTAACTGAAATAAATGTACTTCAGTGTCTGAGCCACCACAAAGGACTACCATACTCTGTTGGGAGAGCCCCCACTGACCCTGTCTCCCTCTGCACCTTTAACATCATCCCATCTTTAACCAGAGGGGATGGGGGGCTCTGCTGCCAGTGACAGGCACAGCCCAAAAGTCCTTCTACATCCCCCTTATCTGTCGTTTTATGCCCTCTGCACTCTTGGCTACCCAGGCTTTTTACTTAATTTCCTCTTCTCCCCCGCTCCTTGTACTGTCACATTCTCCTGCACTGCTACACTTCTGTCCACACCTCCTCCTCCGTCAGCTGCGTCCTTCCCCCCTCACACCGCGGAAACAGAACAATACACTGGATTTCTCCGCTGTTCTCGCTCAGCTGTCCCGCTCAGTCCCCTGCTCCGCGCTCCCCCGTGTCCCGCTGTGCCCTGCTCACCCGGGACGCCGCAGCTCCGCCTCTCCAGCTGGTTTACTTTCCCGCGGGAGCCGCTGCAACCCGTCAGGTCCTTGTTTCCCTCGGGTGTTCTCGCCGCCCAAACCCTTGAAGCCCCCAGCCCTTCCCCAAACACTGTGCGGAGCGCTGCCCTCCACCCTCCACCCCCAGGAGGGCCCCCAGTCCGTCCCCGGGCACCAACCCGCCCGCTCCCCACACACCCTCGTCGGAGTCGCGGGCCCGGGCGCTCCGCTCGCCGTCCTCCTCCTCGGCGCTCTCCAGCTCCTCCTCCTCGTAGTAGTCGGGCGCGGGGGCCATGGCGGGCGCGGGCGGCCCCGGCGGGGCTGCGGGCGGCGCGGACACGAGCCCAGCAGCGCTCATGGCCGCGGGCGGGACGGGACGGAGCGGCCGCCGCTCGGCAACCGCGGCGGGAACCGCGGCCGCGCTTCCGCTTCCGGGCGGCGCCGGGGCCGCCGCGCCCCCGCCCGGCCAACGCGGGCCCTGCGGGTCCGAGGGTTACGGGTTCGAGTCCCGACCCCTCCCAGTGCGTGGCACGGGGTTGGACTGTGCTGGCGGTGGAGTTTAACTCTTCAGCGCGTTGTGGCCGCCTGGGCTCGTGTTCGTGGACCAGGCTCTGCTCAGAGCTGCCAAGAAATAGGACGAGAGCAACGGGCAGAAACATGCACAAGAAGTTCCACCAAGAGATGAGGAAGAGCTTCTTCACTGTGCAGTGACCGAGCAGCGGAACACAGACCAAAGAGGCTGTGGAGTCTCCCTCTCTGGGGATATTCCAGAACCGTCTGGACACAATCCTGTGCCTCGTGCTGGAGGATGACCCTGCTGGAGCAGATGATCCCACTGTGATCCCTTCCAACCTGGCCCATTCTGTGATACAGACACGGAGCAGGACCTTGCCTCAGTGGGGATGGACTCATTAGGATACTCGTACTCTTATGAACTTTATTATATTTTAATAGAGAAATTACTTCCCAGCAGAGGCCCAGCACAGAGAGCACTGTGATCTCACCCAGGTGAATCAGGTGCCTCGTGCCAGTGAACAGCAGCATTTGTAGAACACGTGCCTCCCATCTGCCAGGAACTGGTCATTCTCCTGACTAGGCACTGCTACAAAATTAAAGATCAAGACACATATCCTGTGGTGAGAGTCCTGTGCAGGATCCCACTCCCATCTGAAAATGCCTCACAGTGGTATTTTAGACTAAATATCTCATGTATCTTATTTCTGCAGCTCTAATTCGCCTGGGAACGACTAATTAATCTCATCACCTCCAGCACAGCCACACTAATCGCTCACCTTCAGCTGGGAGGTGCATTCCTCACATGCACAGCTTATTGACTCACTGAGGCACTACAAACACCTCACCGAGGGGAAGGAAATGGGTTTGATGTGAAGCACTGAGCTCTGAAACCTGCAGCGCCTCTCCAAACCCGCCGAGCCGGGTGCTCAGCGCCCAGAGCAGCACCGGGTCGGTCACACCGTGTTCTGAAAGGGGCAGCAATAACGCAGCGCAGCCGCTCGGCTCCCCTGCCGATCACCCTAAAGGTCTGTTTGCCCAGACTGACAATTTTTAACTCGGAACACCCATGCCAAGTATGCTCCATGCCTCTTTCCTTAAGTCAATATTGCCTCTAACAGGGGACGAGGCTGAGGCACGGCCAAAAGTCGGCACCGCCCCTCAAGCAGCTCCCAGAACTTAGGGAGCGTTTTTGTCTCAGGGCAGAGACACCACCAGAACTGCTCGGCACCCCTCCTTCCCCAAGGAATGCTGTGGGTTATCAGCACGTTGGAAACCCCTCCTTTTGCCTCCTCCCCACTCAGGCAGCGCGGCTGGCACGGCTGCCCGCGCCCCGGGGTGAACAGGAAAGGGCGTGGTGGCGGCTGCCACATCGCATGAGCTGCCCGGTGCCCATGGGTTTGTGCTCTCCCCACACTCACACCTGGCTTCAGCTCCTCAAATCACTTCCCAAAGCCATCCACTCGCTGAGCTAAAAATAGAAACGGGACTGCAGGACTCAAGAACTAACCAGAGCCCCCTCGGAGCTTTACAAACACTGGTATTTCCCCTTTCTCCCCCATTTCCTGTCTGTATCTGTTCCATCTGTCCACACACACTCGGCTCACCAGCTCCCCTGCCAGCGGGGTTTGTGCTGCTGGGGACACCAAACCAGTTCTAAGTGTGCCTGAACCGCAGCAGCCCTCCCAAGGATCATCTGCCCTGCCTCACTGCTGCCTCAGCACGTCCTGCTCGGAGCGGGTCTGCCCTCCCAGCGCAGCCCTTCACACATCGGGCAGGTGCAGGCACCGACGCGAGGGCACAGCAACCCCCTGAACAGGAGCCAGCGGGTAAAAAACTGCAAACTGCTGCTGATGCACAGCTTTTTTAGCTCATTCTGTGGTCAAAACTGGGATCTCAAAGCTGTTGCTCCCTCCGTGCTAATTCCCCCTGTTTAATAGGAGCCTGCTGGAGACACCCTCTGCTGTCATCTCTCAGGCATTCAGTGGGAACCCGAGGGAGGAGGCTCAGCTTTAAGGAATGCCATGTTTCCCCTACAAACGCAGAAACTTAACTGTCTCCGCCCCAAGGAGCTGTCAGGGAAAGTGTAAAGTTCCCTGTCGAGCTGTTGTTCTTGGCTCGTCCTTCCATCAGGGCTGTTCTTGTCACAACTCAGTCAGTGCTTCGTGCACACTCAGTTTGGGGAGAGATCTCTGCCTCCTGCTTGCTCAGCACCAGCTTTTCACACAGCTGCTGACAGATGAGTCGTGCTCACTCTGCTCTTCTTTCCACTTGTAAGAAAGAGGGGGAAAAATGGGTTATGGAACTCAGCTTATAAACAGGAAACTCATTGTGTGAAATTACCCAACTACATTGAGAAGAGCTGTATTGTACCTTGGCCTCTGAGGCACAGGACACACCAACACCCCTCACCTGGGACTCAGGGCTCTCAGGTTTCTGTACCTCTGTAGCTGTACAGCTCTCTGAGGATGGTTCTAGAAGCCCAAAAAGGGAACAGCTGTCAGGAGCAAGTTGGCAGAATGAGGCTGCATGAGGTACTGGCGGATAAAGCTCTGCTCCTTCAGTTTTATTTAGAAAGATGAAGTAATTAACCCCCCTGTCAAGTCTCTACAACTAAGAAGTGTTTAGGTTCAGAGGCTGTGGGGAGCCACCAAGTGTAGCAGAAACAGCACAAACTCACCTTACCCTGCCCCTGCTCTGAGCAATTCCTAAGCCAGAGCTCTCAACCCCTGCTACAACTCATTCTCCTTTGGGGCTTTGCTGCCAAATCACAGCTGCTCCTTTTGGGTACAGGACCTCTTCCTGCCACAGGACACAGGCTCCCTGTCAGGGCTCCCCCAACGCCTGCAGCACGGGACTGAAGACTCAGAGCTGCCTTTTTACTGGGCCCAAGCACTGTCCCCTCACACAGCAGCTGGATGGGGGCCCCAACATCTCCCATACCTGAGAGCACTACAGGCCCTGACAATGCACACAAACACACACTCTGAATTAATTATGGGCCCTGACACCCCTCCACACACACACCTGAGCCTGATATGGCCCCAACATCCCTTCCCCATAGTGAGACCACTGCAGTCCGCAACATCCCGCTCCCCTCGCCGGCACACACCTGAGGTTACCACAGCGCTCGGCCCCGCACCCCCTGAAACCATTATGGGTGCATAAGTCCCTCACACACACACCTGAACCTGCTGCGGGCCAACCACCCTCGCACACACCTGAGACCACTGTGGGCCCTAACACTCCTCACGCACACCTGAGTCCCGGCACGAACAGCCACAGCCACGGCTGCGGCAGCCCCTGCCAGCCCCACGCTGAGCCCCTGCTCTGGCCGTGCCCCTCAGGGCGCTCCCGCCATTGCCCTCCCTCAGACCCGCTCCCTCCGGGCACCGCGCAGGCGGCTCAATCGAGCGCCGATGGCACGGGCGGTGCGCTCGGTGAGGCGGCGCCGCTCAGCGGCCCGGCCTGAGCTGCCAGGCGGAGTAGCCGAGCGCCGAGCGGGGCCGGGCAGGAAGCGGCGGTGACGGGCACGGCCCGGCGGACACGCTCCGTCCCCCTCTCCTCCTCCTCCTCCTCCTCCTCGTTCTCCCCACCCGGGCCCCGCGGACGTGGCCCGCTGCCGCCGGCCGGCACCAGGTGAGGCACCGGCAGAGGGAGCGGCGCCGCTGACAGGCGGGTCCCGGCGGGGCGCGGAGGGCAGGGGGCAGCGCTGGGGCTGGCAGCGCGTTTGGGGCCGGTGAAGGCACTTATCCGCGTTTGGGGCCGGTGAAGGCACTTAGCCGCGTTTGGGGCCGGTGAAGGCATTTATCCGCGTTTGGGGCCGGTGAAGGCACTTAGCCGCGTTTGGGGCCGGTGAAGGCACTTAGCCGCGTCTGGGGCCGGTGAAGGCACTTTGCGGGGCTCGGCTGTCCCGGCTGTCTCAGGCACGGGCTGCTCGGGGCCGGGGCAGCTCCCGCGGGCTGTGGGGTCTGGGAGAGCCCGGCCGGGGCGGGACGGGGCAGCTGCCCCCACCTCGTGCCGGGGCGCCGGGAACAGCCGCTCCTCCCTTCCCCGCTTCCCCCGCTCCCTCGTGCCTTGCCCGTGTGCCGGGAGCTGTCCCCGGGAGCTCTCTGGAAGTCGGAGCTCCAGCGCAGCAGCCTGAGCGGGCGGGAACGCCCCGGGAGGAGCGGAGGGAGAGCGGGCGGCTGCCTTCACCTGGAGCCGGGCACGGCTCGGGAGAGCGGCGCTGCTCCGCTGGGATTAGCCGGGATCCGTCAGAGCCCGTGAATCCCGGCGAGGAGGGAGCTGCGTTTGTCTCAGCTTTGAGCGGAGTTGGAAGCAGTGACGTCGGTCTGGTGCGAGCAGATGTCTCTGTCCTTTTAATGACACAGAGAAATGGTTTGCTGTAGGTGCTGGATGCCATCGAGCAGCGCTCGTACTTGCGTGGGAAGGAGAAGGAAGGAGGACACGAGGCAAGTACTAAGCCTTCAGAATTTTGTTTTATAAACACATCTCCTCGTGTCTACTCACCCCCCTTCCCCAGGAACGTGAGTGGAATGAATTCCCTAATGCTACAACTATGGCAGTTCTAAACTTCAGTAGCCACTGAGTAGCCCTGGTAGATTCCTGGTTTTCCCTGGTCACTTCCTGAGCCTGGGCAGAAGTGAGCAGCTCTGTGCTGGGCTTGCTGTCCCCAGCTGGGCTGTTCTCCCCAGGGTGGGGAAGAAGCCCGTGGCACAGTGCTCTGGAAGCAGTATGGAATGCTGGGCTCACACACAGTCCAGCAGCACCTCCGTGTTTGTTTAAAAACAGCACAGCAGGCGGTGCTGATTCCGGCCCTGCTTGTGCCAGGAGGATTTGGAATCTCCCTGCCCACCTTTGTGGATAGTGATCCACATAAGAAGGTGGAAGCACTCAGGGCTCTGAATCCACGTGCGTGCAGTTCCACAGTACACAGGGTGATTTCAAGTTGCTGGGTACAGCAGTGCTGGCTGAGGTTTGTGGTGCTTATGTTGTTTGAGAATAAGTGGGCTCCAGTCTGTTCCCCAAGGTCTGCTGACATCTTTTAGCAAATGTTTAGAATGCTGCAGTGCTGGCAGTGATGCAGCTTATTTTGCCAGTGGTCATTACTTTGATGTATCCCATACCAGATCTGTGAGAGATCATGTGTTGGTGTTTCTATGTTGATGGACTGTTTGTGGAGAGAGAGAGAATACACCATGCTCGCCCTCTGTATGAGCTAAAAATTAGGTTATTTCTGGTAGGTAGCTATTTTTGTGTTCTCAGGGGCTAATATAACAATATAGGGCATGTTTTAAATGTAAATACCTGCCTGCAATCTCTCTTTTAACACAGCTTCATACAGATACCTGACAATTCTTTCATGCACCCACACTGAGGCTGCAAACTGTTCCTATCTACATAAATGTCTCATTTATCAAATCCAGATTTCTTATTTGCTGTCCAACTCATCATATAACTTCCTCTGGCATCTGATTTGAGGAAACCTTGAGCAGGGTTGTTTCCATCCACCCTTTTTTGTATGAGAGCTTTCAGATTGCAAACTAATTCTTGTTTGTGTGTGTGTGTATTACTTACAGTGATTCTCTCTAAGCACTTCCCTTTTACTTTGTTGCATCATTATCAGTTAAAAGGGATCTTAGCAAGTCAAAGCTTTTAAAGACGAGGTATTTCTACTTGTGTGCATTTTAAATGTGGCTCTTGCATCAGCAGGGTTTTACTGTTAGAATTGTTTTCCATAATGTGTTGCTGGATGGGGGAAACTTTTAGCAGGAATGAGCTCTCTTCCTTCTGAGTAACCTGCTGCCTTCTTCTAAAGGAAAAACCCTGTTTGAATGGAGCAGGGCTGGAGTTGCTGGGCTGCTGGGGAGCAGAGGAGGAGCAGGGGCAGGGCAGTGGTCAGTGAGTTTGGACCAGGAACACAGACTCGTTGTGTTCTCCTCTTACAGGTTTTTGTTCCAGGTTGTTCTGCAGCCTTGTGGGATGCTGCAACATCCAGGTTATGAGAAATGCCAGGGAAGGACGTGTTTGTGGAACATCTCACATTTTATTTGTTGCTTTTTTACAAAAAAAAAAAAAAAAAAAAAAAAAAAAGGGGTCTAAGGTTAATGGTTTTAAATAGGAAATACATCTTTTGTTTTAAGACAGAGCTCAGAGTCTTTTAACAGGACCCCTCTACACTTCAGTCACAGCATTTACACCAAACTGAGTTTGGATAAAAGTGCAGTTTTGGCATCAAAGGTGTTCAAAAAGTAGATTTCTATAAAGTTTTGTTTCAGCACGTGCTCAGCTTTATTAATTAATGGACATGCTTTCACACATCAGGGAAAAATTCAAAAAGTGAACCCGAAAGAGTATTTTGTTTTATGCTCACTATTTTCAAACTACTTCCTCATTTGGAGGCCATTGATTAAACCAGAAGGATCTGCTTGCCCTTGGCTGTGTAATAAACATGATGCAATTGCCTGGTGCCTGCTTGGTCATCAGTTCTTCCAGGGGCAGCTCAGTGAGTTTCCCTGACAGTCTTTTTATCACTCCCTGAAATCACTCTGGCAGCTTTGTTCTAATTTTCTGAGTGAAGTGTGTTTTAGAAAGTATTGATCTGGTAAATTTAGGGTTCCCTCTGGGTAAAAAGAAGAAAATCTCCCCTCTGATTTTTACATGTGCAGCACAGGTTGTGAATTTCGTTGTGATCGTGTAGTGGGCATCACTTAAAAGTCATCACTGGCACTGTGTGCCAGGAGCTCTCATCTGTGAGAGCCTCAGCTCCTCATTAACGAGGAGGAAAGCTGAAATAGAAATTAAAGTAAGTTAATTGGGCGTGGTCATCAGTCTCTTAAGCTACTGAAGGATGTTGGATATCCGAGTTATTAATGGTATTGTGGCAGCTTCTCAATTGTTATAAAGCCCCACTTCCAGCATTAAGGAGCAATGTTCCTAACATGACATGTTGCCCTTATTCTGTACAACTAAACCTTGGGAATTAACTTCTAAAATCCCACTGGAAATATGAAAAATATATATTTTTAAAGACCAGTAGGTTTTGCTCTAAGATTCAAGAAATCTGGAGTACTGCTAGTATTAATTTTAAAATTATTTAAAAATTTATTTAAATGAATTAAATACTAAAATTAGGTTGGCTTATAAGTTCTTATTCAGGATGGCAAAGTACACATTGGATTTGAGCAGGCTGGAAGATTTCTTGTTCATATACTCATGTTTGTGTCACATATTGTTAGTTTAATTTGTAAGGACAGGGAAATTTCAAATTTAATATAGGGAGCTTACAAAACAAGTTTGTCTGAGTTGCTAATGAACTAGGCACTTATGCCCTTGGACAGGTAATAGCTTGATGTTGATGTAATTACTTTTTTCCCCCACCCTGAATATTAGGTAAAACTGGACTCTGGTTGATGTAGAATTTAATGACACCAGTCATTCTGAGGGAGCCTGTGGTCACTCATGTCCCTCCTGTGGTCACTCGTGTCCCTCCTTGGCTACTAAAGGCTTTCAAATAGGGACATTCTCCCAGTTTGGTCTCCGTTTGTGCCTCTTCCTGCTGTCACTGTTAATTATGATGCTGGGTTACCTGAGAGCCCAAGAAGCCCTCAAAAGAAGGGCAAATGATGACCTTGGTGGGTTTGATTTGGGATGAGAAGGTTTTGTGCTGTAGGTGATGCTGGCTTTGGGAAGAGAGAGAAAAAGCTGTTTTTAGGAAATTGTCACTGTGAGAGTGGAGATGTTAACCCAAAATCCTGGATAAACTTCCAGCTGCATTCCCCTGGAGTTGAAAACACACACATGGGTTTGGATTTGTTACTTTTCTACAGAAAATACTTCCTGGGGAGTACCCCAGGATCCTGTGGTGCAGAACCTGGCACTGGGAGGAACGGATCTTGTAGCAGTGTATGCATTTCCACACATATCAAGCAGTTTAGGATGAAAGATGTTGGGACTACCAGATACCATCAACATTTTGTGAGCTGGATGTCATTATTAGATTGGAACTGATGAATGTCAAACGTTGTGGTAAGTCTGTTTTTAGAGAGATGCAGACTGTGCTTGCTTCCTACATTAAACCTCATTTTCTCCTAATTTTTATATGTGAGCTGTGATTCTGTTGCACAGAATCTGGCATAATATTGAGCAGATTTATTTAGTGTTGCCCTTGAACGTTGTGAGTGTTTAAGCCAGATTTACAGGAACACAGTCAGTGATGATTCATGTTGAGATGATGTTTTTCTCCCTTGTAATGGAACATATGGGACTACGTAGCATATGGTACCACTGAAAATTGTTAAATGTGGAGCACTGATTTATTACACAGCAAAAAGGGTTGGGGTTTTCAGTCTAACACTGAGCAGGAAGCTTGTAAACAGCTCTGGCTGTTGGTTGGTGTTGGATGCACTACTGTGTTGTGTGGTAATTTCAAAGGATTCCTTTAAATGGCAACAGAATGCTTCCAAAAGTTGTGTGTCTGCCCTTTTGCTATAGTACAGTCTTGCTCTGTGGGATGACAGCTTAAAAAACCTGAAAAAGAAATCGTTTCTCAGATGGGAAGCAGAGGTATTAAAATGTGTAAATATTTTCCTTTCAGTCTTACTATCCAAAACACCTTCTTTCTGTGTTTTGTTCGG